TTTCTTTAACAAAATTCCACATCCTCAACTTTGTATTATCGCAATGCTGTAGCCAAAGGACCCAAATCTGAGTGTTATTAAATTATTGCAACAGTGTAGAGACAACTGTATGTTCTGTGGCTATTGCATTATTGAAAAAAAAGAAAATGAGTTAGCAAACAATAGGTTAGCCAATGGGGTAAATAGATATATACCCTCTTTTTTATTGATTCATAATTTGTAATTTTCTCTATTTCCAGATCTACACTCTACTAGTCCTATGAAAAAAATATATTCCTTATCACTTTATGTATTTATATATATTTTTTTGTAATTCTCTCTTCTTGATTACCACAACCAGGGACCATTGAATAGATTTTTTTTTTTTTCTTTCTAGGTTCCTGATGGGCTTTATCATCACATGAAGAATTATCATCAGTTTGACTTCGAGTACAGTACAAAGAACCTTACCTTCTATCAGAAAGTTATGGTCATCAACTTCGTTCGGACACGTGTAAGGAAACAGATAATACAAAATTTTTAAGTTCATGAAAAAATTATTTTGGTTTAGCCCCTTACACACCATACACTTGGGTTTGGGTAAACTTTGTGGAGGATTTAAGTATGACACATTCTAATGCACTTTAGGTTTGTACTGAAATGTGGCAGCAAAACCCATAGATTTGTGCAACACAAATACTTTTCTCTGAAAGATCAGGTATGAGTAAAGTATCTTAGAGGATTATGACATGAAATCCATATATAACCTCCCACTAGAGATATAGATATAGTCACAAAATTACAAGATTAAAAAAAAAAAAAAAAAAAGATGAATTAATGGGAAATATTACCTTTGCAGCTTAGGGACCTTCAGTGTCTTTTGTGTCAAGCTTCTTTTCCAGCTCTGCACAGTTTACAAGGACACATGACGGAAGCTGGTCACTGTGTCCTTCCCAGCAGTTCACTTTGGGAACACCAACAGTAAGTATCAGTAAAGAAAATGAACTCTTTTGTCACAGGAGTATTTCCCCTTGCATATCTTTCAGCAAATTATTTGGGGGTAATTAAAATAGATGCAACAGATGTATAATACTTTTACTTAATGTTTTCCAGAAATTGTCCCATGACAGGCATATTTAGGAATGAATTAGAAGCACAATATTTCACCACTTAATAGCATTGATTAGAATCAAAGTTGTTCCCTCAGTCTGTCATGTCTCTCTGAGTTAGAATATGAATCAAGTCATATGGTGTGAACCATTACCAGTTTCTCCTAAAACTATTGCTTTTCCAGGTTCCTTATACCAGTAATGAACAATGATGGTCTTCTGTGCCACTTGGAGGATGTGGAGGTTGAGGATGAAGATAAGGTAAGAAAGAAAAGGTTCTTTTCTTGAAGTTAGATTAGCCTTGACAGTTTACCTTATAATTTTGTCTCTTATCACTTATAAAGTGTGATTATATATTTTTTGGTATGTGTCTCTCAAACTGGGTATATTTGCATTTACTAGAACACTTGCATGCTTGCTAAACACTTGCAGGTGAATAGGTGAAGAAGTAATAAGTAGATTAATAGTTGAAGTTACTAGTAGATACTGTAATTAAGAGAAAAATATGTATATTATATCATCTTGTATTTTAATACCAGTTGACAGATTAATAAACCTGCTCTTACTGGCTCACATAAAGAAAAGAATTTCAACTTCCTACTTGCATTCAGATCATACCAGAGGACTTGTGCGAGTACAAAAACTCTGTGCTGGAAGATGACAAGCTCAGAGAAGAAATCAAAGGCACCGAAGAGAAGGAATTGGACATCCCGGTCATGTGCCTCTTCTGCCATTACACAGTGTCAGGAGAGGAATCGCACACACAGATCTGCGGCCACATGCAGGAGTTCCATTCCTTTGACTTTACAGATGTAATGAGTGGGTTGCCTTTCTACAGCCAAGTCAAACTTATCAATTTCATGAGGTGGAAGGTAAGCAGATATTTTGTCTGATGCATTCTATAATATTGATAATAATCAACAGATTATGTATGAAGCAAGTCAGATACTATGTTTACTATACAAACATAATGTCTTTATTCTCAGTAGTCAGTCCTTTATAGTATAAAAAATTATTATCGTCTAGGGTAAGAAATAAAATGTAAAAAAGTTTCAACAGAAAATATGAATTACTGAAATGTCAAGGTAGACATTCTAGCTTTAATAAATAACATTTTTAATATAGTATTTCTTTTATTCTTCAGTTTAACATTTTAACTTTGATGTTCCATAATAGTAGATTATAAAGTTGAACCAAATATCAGTCCCTTTTTATGCTTGTAAGTGCATCAGCAATAAAGGATTTGGTGTTGTATACATTATCTATTATTCAGAGGATTTCCTGGTAGCAGGGAGAAGAATATGGTATGTGTCTGTATTATTGCTTTATAATTTGATGTATACCTTAGTTAGTGGTCTTTTATAAATATTTCATTTCAACAGACTGCAAAGAATGAATGTTACATGTGCAGT